TTATTAATATATATTATTTTAATAATGACAACTTTAAAACTTGGGTCTGTTTCAGAAAATTTGCCTGTTAAAATAACACCTTACCCAAAATATGTGCTCCTTACACGCACAGCACTCTCTCTCCTTAATGCACTGCCAAAAATACCATGCAGCAAGTCCGAGCTCCCGACTGCCAGCAAAGCTTACACCCCAGAGGCTGAGCCCATCTCCTCACCGTCTGCACTTATGCAAACCCAGTAAGGCTTGTGGGCACACAGGTGTCAGGAGCACAGGGAAATGGCAGGGACACAGCTAGGAGAATCAGCTGGCTGGAGGGTTTTGGGGGAGGAATGGGTGGGTGTAAGTGTAAAAAAAAAAAAATTGATCATCCAATAGAGAATAAAAATTTCATTTAAATGAAGTTCAGTCAGCAAAAGAGATTCAAAAGAGTATGTTTTTAATGGATTATTTGGGGTGATTGCATCCCGCTTGTGATGGTGACCTTTTGGATCAGGATGGCAAAGAAAAGAGTCATCATGGGGCACTATTAAATCTGGGGCTGCTTCACCCGCCTCTGCTGCTGCCTTACCTCCCCTGGCTGGGGCACACACCTGCTAGGGGGCAGACCTGGGTTCACCAGCCTCCTCACCTCAAGAGGAATTTAATCAATACCTCCCCACTGCCAAAGAGTACCCTGCTACACAAAGCTGCAGGGTAAAAAGAAAGAAGAGGGTGAATTCAGCTGCCGTTCTGCCAGCTGTGCCAGGTGGAGCAGCAAGCAGCCAGAGGAGCAGCCCAGTGGCTGGGGCACTCACCGGGCAGCTCTGTTCTCCTCCCCACGCGTGGCTGCCCAGTGCAAACACTGAAAGCATCCTGTGCACTGGGACCAGAGCCCACTCTGAAGGCAGCTGAGTGCTCTAGCCAGCAGGCAGCAAAGCCAACTCCATAACAGGACAGGGTACTCCATTATTTGAATTTATGTTAAAAGTGGATTAAATCATAGAAACATAGAATAGTTTGGGTTGGAAGGGAGCTTTAGAGGTCATCTAGTCCAACCCCCCTGCCGTGGGCAGGGAC